CTGGACCCTCAAAAAGGACTTGACGACAAGGGGGAAGAGGATCTGGGAGATCGGTTTAAACAGCGTCTTGACCATAGCTCCAGAAATGCCATCAGGACCCGCTGCTGCACATTTGGCCTTGCTGCAGGACCTCTCCACTCTGGCGAGCGTTGGGGCCTCTCTGACGTCGATATGAATGCCCTGCAAATGCTCAGCTGGGAGAGCGGGCAGGACGCTGGCGTGCCAGTCTAGGTCCTGCATCGGCACAACTGGAGCTGCCTCTATAGCTGCGAAATGCCGCGTCCATGCCTCTAGTGCCTCTCTCTCTGAGTGCACCGGTTGTCCGTCATCGCCACGGAGAAGTGGGAGGGGTTGGGATCTGGCTTTCTTCCTGGAACATGCGCCAACGGACCTAAGCTTCCTGTGAGCTCGAGCATGCTCCTTGAGAGACCAGGCGCTCGTGATATCCCTGGCGATGTCCGAGTAATGAGCACGTGCGTCCTGCTTAACCAGCAAATTGACAAACTTGATGCCCTCAGTGAGACAGACCGTGCGCAACGCGTGAGACATCGAGGAAAGCCTCCGTGCGTTGGCAAGCGCTTCAACCAACCACATGCCGATAAAACTGTTCGTCTGCGCAACCATGTCCGTGGGAGGGGCCAGGGCTCTGAGAGAGGCTTTTGAAGGGCCTCGGGGCCCCTTGGTAGGTATATGCGCGGTAGTAGCCAGAAGGTCCGTCTTGCACTCCAGGATGTCCAAAACTCCATCCCAGGCATCACTCCAACACTGCAAACAGCGTAGAATCCAGACCCCCATCGACGACCAGGACCCCGAAAAAGAACGAGTCGACCATGTCCACGTCGAACGCCGTGGACAGAACCATGAGCCACCAATGGGAGCGGCCCATACTCGAAAGCAAGCTCCCAAGACTGCCTTGTTCCATCGGGTCCCAAGAAATCGGGCACGTCGGAGCCAATGGGTGCGGACATCCAAGGCCTCAAGAGTACCCAAGGAGATCCAAGATTGTCTAGGTTTGCGTCCGCGTCCATTTTCCGTGGCGCGACATGGGAAAGCAAGCGGTAGGGCATGGTGCAGAAGTTGAACGACCTCCTGGCAGTGGTCGTTAACGTGCACATCAAAAGAAGGCTTCGGCCCATGGCTCTCCACATATCTGGCAAACATGGTCCGTGCGGCAGGATCTTCAAACACCGTAGGATCGCGCGCAATCTTGGGGAAGAACGAAAGCACGTTGCTGGCCTTGGCTGTGAGGGGGAAGCGGATAACGGCGCTGACAGCCTTGTGGTCCACGATAGAAGCCGTAAGGTCCAGAGAGCTCAAAACCGTAGCCGAATCCACCTGGCAGTCCCTGGAACAACATATGTAGTCAATACGTTTGCCTGGACACGTCCATAAATTTGTTTTGTCCCGCTGGAGGAAACCAAGTAGCCCCGGAGTGCGTCGATGGCAAAACCGTAGCAGGAACCCGAAGCTTCCTATCAAGCATCAGGTCGTGGAATAGTTGTCCAAGAAGATTCTCTGGCTCCGCCGGTATCCTCCGATGGCCTCTGCGGTGCGGGGCCCAACGCGGCCATTGGCGTCGATCGACCGCAGCTCAGGGGCGGCGGAGTCGAGTACTTGGCGTAGCCTGTCTTTAAGTTCCTGCCACCACTTACGGATGGCCTCTTGGCCCGCTCCGCTGCGCGGGCCATGCCCAATCACTGCGTTGACAGAAAAATGCTGACACCTTATCGCCACAACGAGCGCCCTCGGCGTCGCATAGAAGTACTTTGCAATGCCGAGGCAGCAAGCGTACGGAATCAGATATCGCAACTGAAGTGTTGATCCAGAATGAGCAACCAAATCGGCGATATTGGTCCCCCGCGGAGTGGATGACATGATATTCTTTGACCCTGGAAGTTCCAGACCGCGGCAATCTAGTCTCAACCGTGCCAGCGAAAAGTACCCGAGAGGTCGCCAGTTTGTGCCCAATGTAGGCCATCCGTCCGGGTAGGAAAAGACCCGTGGTTTGGGCAGATCGATGGGCCCTGGGATCCAGCGTGAGAACGTTGGCGGCGACTACCGTGTGGGCTCGAGTCAAACGAGAACCTCCTGGCCCCTCATTTTGCCCCTTGGCCTTGGCCCTTGGGCCATGCTCAAGTGGGGGAGCCAAGTCCCTCAAAGAAAAAGTAGACGGCATGGATTCGTTCAGCATGATCCCTGGGGCAGGAGGAAATTGCCCTCGGGCCTGGAGCGGGGCCGAGTCGAGCCAAGCCCATGCCAGAGCCTCTAAATGCTGTTCGATATGTCTCCAGTCCGTAGCAAGCTGCCGAAATTGAAATAGGCGCGCCGATGCTAGAGTACAGAGCGTGTCAGCAAACTCATTCCATGGCTGCGCTTGGTGTCCTGCAACGTGGAAAACACGGCAGCTTCTGGCCCTCGTACGCATAATTTTCTGAAGGGCGCCCAAGAGACGACGCTGGTTCCCAAGAGAGCCCATAGTGGCACCCCCATCGATCACGTTAAGAACCTCCATGTTGTCCCCGTATAGACAAATATCCCAAGAGTCCAGAGCCCCCAGCTGCAAAAGCCAAGCAAGGGCCCATTGGGCCGCCAGTAGTTCAACCATCCATGAAAACATATCCGGAGACAAGTCCGAGTCCTCGAAAGTAGAGGCCGTATAACCAACAATGGCGACCCGATCGTGAACGTCCTCTGCCAGAGCGACAAAGCCCCAGCTAGGTGGGCCTTTCTTCGCATGAAAAGTGCGGCCAGGGACGAATAAGTCTCGATCTGGTCCAGAACGACACCCTCCTGATCCATCCAAGAGGATATGGACCTTGCACCAGCGATCTAAGTCGGTCATGGGATACAGTCCTGGAAGCGCCTGAACGGTAGAAGAATGCAGGTAAGGGGCAACATCCAACAGACTGCTGTCTAGAGGGGTGTTCCAAGCCTGGAAGAGACACTCCTGGACCACCTGGGTATCCGGGAGCGGACTGTATATGCATCCTCTGGCGGGGGCAGTACCATTCAGAGGAGTAGAAGGTGTGGCTCCCGAGTAGAGCTCATCTTGATTGCCCTCCCTCGAGTCCTGCGAAGCGAAGTGCTTCAACTCTGCTGGGCCCCGTTCGGGTTGTGAAACAGATGCTGCCCCGCTGCCGCCGCCGCAGCGGCATCGTCGGGCGGCACCTCGATGTCGACTCCGTCCATGCTCGCGTGCGGCAGGGTCTGACTCTTCTCGGCTGGCTCGTCGGGATGTGCCTCGGTCGCTCCTCGCCTCGCAGCTCGATTGGGATTGGCCTGAACTGGCCATGGGAGCGGCATCTGCCCAGGCAGCAGCGGGTGCGACTTCATGTGCGATGCTGCTTGCGGCCTTCAGGCCCGTGGCCTCTCGCATGGCATTGAGCTCCTGCACAGTCATCTCCGGCAGGCCGTCGGCTCCCATCTCCTCGGAAGGTGCTGTAGGCGATGAGGTCGTTGCGGCGGCTGGGGGCAGACCGCTGCCTGCGGCTGCTGGCGCGCCTGCTGAGAGCCTGCTGCGAGCGCCGTCTGAATCGATGCCAGAGTCTGAGCCAACTGCGATAACTGAGTCGCCATGGTGCCCTGGCCTGCCTGCAGCTGTGCAATCACCTGCGACATTGCCTGAGGTGTCTGCTGCAGCACTTGCTGGGGTGTGTGTGGCATCTGAGCCGCCGATGCGCTCATGGCTGTCGCGAACGGGCTGGGCGGCGTCACCATGGCTATCGGGCGTCCATGGTCGACCTCCATGAATGGGCTGGGCTGGGTGGGCTGCTGTCGCCACGGCGGCCCAGACGAGGCCTCTTGTGCTGCTGCTGCTGCTGCCTCTTGAGCCTTGGCGTCTGCCTCGGCTTCCTCCTGCTCCTGCATAACCTTGAAGGCTGCATGGATAGCTTGTGCCTTGTCTAGGTCCTCCTGCAAGGCAGCTCGGGTTGCGGCTGCAGTTGCCAAGGCA